TTTTCGAATCTTTGTCGGCAAACGATCCACTTTGCGTGAAAAATCAGCAGCGCGCGTTCCTCCCTGCAAACACCATATTTCCGAGCTTTGTTTTGTTCCCCCACGTACTCGGGCGAGTAACTTTTTTTTGTGATACATTTTATTCCGGATGATGCATCTTTTTTTTTGGGGAGAGGGGGTTGATTTGCGTGTGCTCATTTCGCTGATTATTTGATTATTACCAAGTACAACGGGAGGTAGTATGCATAAACCTGCGTGCATTACGTATTTCGGTACGTATACAAATTATTATGTACATGTATATATAATGTAATTGGGATAATGTTACGTACGATGATTAGCAAATACGCGAATTATCCCAATTGAATCGTAAATAAATAATGAACATTGTTGCGGGTTTCAGCTGCCGTGGAGGTGGCTGTTTTGTTGTAAAAAATGGAAACGTGTGAAATTGTAAATGGGATCGCCATCAAAGTTATCGGAAAGATTTTTATTTGTAAAACGCGATTAAGAAGCGCGGGGAGTCTCCGTGTTTTCACAAGCTTTTTCCTTTCCACTCGAGCCCCTCCGCACTTCGACTTAATGGCGAAAATTATTCAGCGCCCGGTACGGAATAATTTCCAGGGTATATAAGTAAGGTTTTTTCCCTCCCCCCTCCCTTCAACCTCCTCCCACCACCGAGTAAAAGTACAATAAAACCCGCGGAAAGATGAGAGTAATAAGGCGCTCCGGGTTTCCTTTGCCTCCGTTGTATCGCAGTGCAAAGAGAGCCAGACGATTTTACCCCGAAAAGACGTACGGACGCTGCGTTTCATTGAAAAGAGGTATTACAAAACGCATCTCTCTGCAGCCGAAAGGAGACCGCTACGAGCCGATCAAAGCGGCAAAGCCATCGTGTCAATGTTATTCGCCATTACTTTTATAAACAAGGCGTCCGAGGAGTTGCTTTTTTTTTTTTTCAATTAAAATTACCATCTACCTCTTTGGTTCACTACTCTGGAAAGCTTAGCTCTCCCCATGCACTTGCGATTGGTTGAAAAAAAAAAAAAAAAAAAAATCACGGTCGCGCGATAACACCGAGGAGGACTTTAATTAATACAAAAGACCGAAGCAAAAAGTGCGACCCTACGGGAGCAGTGGAGTTGGGCAAGAAAAAGCGCGCTAATGTCGTCGGGTCACTTATCTGCTTGGCTTTTGAAAAATGGATTAAGCACGAGAGGGAGAAAAAGTGGCAGTCGCTTTCGGAGGAAAAAAGGGGGACATTCTAATCTAAAANATTATTCAGAAAGCATAAAAAAATTTTTTAAGGTTCTGAAAACCATAAAGATTATTGATTTTTTGTTAATTTCCATTCCAATCAAAGTAATTTCAGGTTAGAAATTCATTTCTTCTAACCCATCGACATTCTTGATATAAAAGAGAATAAACTGTACATATATGATTTCCACCAGGTTTTATGACACATAACCTTAAAAAAGCTGTATATCAACCATTTTTTAGGTTTTCTTGTAAATTAGAAAAAAAAAAAAAAAAAAAAAGCCTGAAATGAAACAAACAAAGAAGGTGGAAGTAAATCACGCGGTCGTACGCGTGTCACAAAGGCTCACTTAGATGACAAAATGATCGCACGGCTGACGCATCGAGAGATGTCGTTGGTCAAGAGAAGCGTAATATCGTACGCGCATCGGGGCAAGACGGGCCAAGAGAAAAACACACCTACGAGTATCGCCAGATAGCAAGAAGAAGATGAAGCTGCGGACAAAGACGGCCGTACAAAAATTAATGACCCCGTGGCTGCTGGAGCGGCAGAAATTCCGAATTCGAGGGACCATCCATCTTTGCTCGCGCGTCACATCAACGGCCGAGGGGTGGGGGGTGAACACCACCTGCACCCATACTCTGTAGTTCAGAGGCTATTTCGTGGATGGGATCGACTCCTGATCGATTAATCTTGGCGCGGATGCTATAGTGCACGCGTTTTTGCAAAAGCGAGAGATGTATGTCCACCTGCGGGAACCTGTTCGTTCCCCCAAATTTTTGAGCAACCGCGAGACGTGACCAAGCGGTCGATGGATTTCTGACTTTTACTTCGAGCTTGGTGAAATGGTAAAATTTTTGTGTGATTATTTCGTAAATAAAAGAATAGAGAGACAAAAAAGTGAATAAAGGAAGAAAAATATTGGATTTTGAGTGTGCTTTTACTGAATTGTGAAGTAAACGAAATTCATCGATTGATAATAAAAGTGACGAGAGACATATTCATATTTAAAGGAACGGGTATCGCCACAAACTATTTTTTCGCAGTATACATTACTTTAATCAATCATGCGTACGATGAAAAATATCGTTATTCACTTTTTGAATTGTAAACAAAAGCTTATTAATTGTCATTTTGATTTACAATTGGACTAAACACTTTATAGTGTATTTCATATGTCTGACCTATATGAGTTTATCGTGTACAAAAATCAAGTAGAAACAGCCGAGTAAGGCCAGACGGTCGGAGAAATCCAAGCGACAAGTGTACATACATAAAATTCAATCAGAAATCGATTAATGTCACCTTCGGCCACGGATTCCAAACGAACAAAGCACAGATACGAGTTCAAAAAAAAAAAAAAAATGGCAATAGTACTGTAAACAGCGCGTCAAGTTTCGTCGTTTTTGGTAACTCGAGTCGCGTCGCGTTGGTATGAAAAAAGGCAAGAGCCATTGTGAGGGAGTACGTGAGTGTCGTTGGCAGGCGCGGCAGGTATAACTCATACCCAACACTCCCTAAGGGCAGTCAGAAACAACCCCCCCTCCCGTGCCGCGGTACTTTTCCTCGCACACTCGAGGCTATAAATACACGAACCCAGTGCCGGGACCTTGATATTGATCGCGCGCCATTGATCAAGACCCCCGTCTTACGGGTAATTTTAGCCCGATGCTCGAACGGAAAATCCAGCGCCATGTGTATGCGAAACAAATGCTCGCCGACCGCGTATATATATATATAGGCATTGGGTATGCAGTCCACGCGTCGAAGGGAGCTTTTTCAATCCAACCCAATTTTCGGGGCAACGTGTTGCTCGATTGATTCATACCAACGTGTTTGTACAGCGTTATTTTTTATTTTCCCCTATGCGCCCGAGAAATCGATAAATACCGTGCCATTACGGTATTCGTTTGCACGCGCTGGCAAATAACTTTCCAACTTGCGCGATTGGAATATTTTTATGCATACATTACACAAAAATGGGCGATTTACGCTCATTGAACGATTGATCGCAATATTCCGTATAGCCCCTTGGCTTTCCTGTGCTCTTATCGTGGGAAATAAAATACTTCTCGCGTAAATTTGTGCGATACGATAAGCATATCGCGATTGAAATACAAATTGAGCGTAAAACCCTCCGATGGAATTTCACGAGGCTTTAAATAGAATTTTTTCCCGATAAGCTTACCTAGCAATAATAAATTAGGTACGCTGGATGAATCAATGATGGCCAATCCGTACTTTATTCGATGGAACAAATTTTCAGGGGTTTAATAACCGTAGAAGGTGGAAAAAAAAATTTGTAGCCCTTAGCGAAGCAGAAAAAGTTTTGAATTATGAAGCTTGTGTGTCGCGGCCCAGTGTCTCCGGTTTGTCCGTAAGGGGCGAGCTCGTAAAGTTTTCGCCCCCATTTGCATTTTTGGCAAAGTCTTGTCCTTTTATTGTAATTAGAAACGAGAGATGCGTAAGAATTTCATTCCCTCCCTAAAATGCGCAATCCACTCGCAGCATCGGCATACGAGAATTTCGCAAAACCAAATAAATATTTCACTGCTTCGCTGCGTGAATCGTAAAAATTTTCAATCTCGAGGTAAAATAGCCCACGCGTACGAGGGAAAAATGTACGTGCTGTTGCGCAGGAAAAATGCAAAAAGATGACGCATTTTGTTCACTCGGCAGTCTGGTTACTCCATCTCGTACACGAAAAGAAGTAGAAGCTTATCAAAAGCTTGCATTTACCAGAGGAAGTAAAAATCTCCGGGTATGAAAAAAAAAATGAGCTCTTTTTCCTTGTTACTCGCACATAAAATTATACACAAAATTGTTGCACGTACCTATGACTCTTTGACCCTTCAACTTTTGAGGGGCAAAGAAAATGTTTGGCCTTAAATTACACTATGGATTCCTTTCCCCTTTACGATGAAAGAAAATGTTTCCGCTCTATTTCAACAGCTTGCGCGTGTCATTCTTGTTTATTATCACTCCCTTTGTACATTATACATTACTCAGCAGTACCTCGACTGTCAAAAAAAAAAAATATATATATATACGTGCACGATGCGGAGAAGAAAAAGAACTCGAGAGAGACGTGCACCCAAAGTACAAAAGACGCCGGAAAATAACCCACGGAGCAAATGACGCATGTCCGCAAAGGCAGAGTAGAAAATAGATAATACATGGCATCTATGAAGGGAGGGTGGGTCGTAAGTCGTGGAATACAACGGGATACCCGTGGTATGTATATGTATTGTAAGGGAGGTAAATCCGTATTATGTATAGGGCAGAGGGACACTGGGAGGATAGTAAAATTTATGATCGACGTTCCGGTTAGCTGACCAGCAGCGAACGGTATTTTATTGATAACCGTCGACTCCTCACTGAACAGTGAATTAGCACAACTCGTACACACGAAAACCCGAAGGCCGCTGCTACATTCCCGTGTCCATCCCCCCACGCTCGACATTGCCGAGTGTTATTGTTATCCGTTATTATGACCACTGGTATTATTTAGATGATCATTACTATCATCAGCCGGCCGATTAGGAGAAACTTATTTCCACCCCCCGGGTTGTTATTCATACCCCCCTGCAGATTTTGAAGCGAATGGGTGCATTGTCTCCGTGGTCGTACACTCGCGGAGCTCCATTGGGTGGATTGGATGGCAATCGGCAAAACAGCCGGTACAACGAGAGACCGTGGAAGTAATGATGGTACTGGCGTTTGTTCCAGGATCGGGGAGGCTCGGCGAGCGCGCCGGTGGAACGGAGGACTCGGGGAGTCCGGCCGGGGGTAGGCTAGCCCTGGGCCAGGGCTGATGGGCAGCTCGATGCCCGTTATCCTCGTCGCAACGAAACTCGAGGGCCGCGCGTCCATGCGGATATTATGCCGACGCGGGGCAAACGACAGCGGCGGCAGCAGTGCATCACCGGGACCAGCTGCACGGGCCGATGAGGGCGCGCCTGGGAGCCCCTGGGATGCCCCAGTCAGCCGGCTAGAGCCGTCGTATGGAGGGACAGGACGTAACGAGTACGGAGAGCAGCAGTAGCAGCAATAGCATTTGGCTTACGAACCTCACGGTCACGAGCGCCAACCGCAGCCTCCACGACGCCCCATCCCAGGCGTTCCCCACCAGGGTATGAGCCGAGAAAACAAGAGCACAAGTACACCATTGTGATTAAATTGTTTATATTTCATCTATACGTATATGTGTGCAATGTGTGCTTACACAGGCAGTGACACTGGCAGTGGTGCTCGGGAGCGTGATACTCGTCACGATAATAGGCAACATACTGGTGTGCGTTGCGGTATTTCTCGTGAAGAAATTGCGCAAACCGTGCAATTATCTGTTGGTAAGTCTCGCGGTGAGCGATCTCTGCGTGGCCATGCTCGTCGAGCCGATAGCCATGCTTTACGAGATCAAGGGCAGCTGGTCCTTTGGGCCCGCCATCTGCGAGATATGGGTCAGCTTCGACGTCCTCAGCTGCACCGCCAGTATACTCAACCTCTGCATGATATCCGTCGACCGGTTGGTATATCCTTCTTACATGCACTGCATATGTTGTTGTTATTATTATCATTATCATCAACATCATGATTACCATCACGATTTTTATCATCATTGTATGATTTACTGTTTTTAAAATCATTATTTGATCGTTATTTCTCATAAAATTTATTACAGTATCATATGCTAATGAATAATTAATCCAACGTGAATAACTGAATCGAATGATAATCATAGGTAATAATTTGATCAGTTGTATAGAATTGAATGATAATTCATGCCTGTTGCATGTATACATTTAAGTTGAGGAAAATTCGATCGCAGATGGATTTTCTCATTCCATTGAGTATAATTATCAAAATTGCTTATGAAACATTATTTATAGCTTTTTTCAACTGTTACGCATTTAAATAACGTATTGTGCTTTAACTACGTGCTCTCAACTATTTTACGCTAATTTTGATATTTATTTAGAATGTCAAGTTACTGAAATAAAAAAGAACATAATGTACGAGTTGCGTTCCCAACTTTGACTCGTTTATCATACTATATATTTTCGGGCTCAAAATCGCAAAATTTACAACTATAATTACTCCAATACCCACAAAGTTAGTAATGTTCGTGATTTGTAATTTTAAAAATGCGACGGGATTTACAATCTCTTTACGCATTCGAATGAAGTAAGTAACTCTCGTGATTGCAAGGTGTTGAAGTAAAAGCCTCGCTGTTAAACCAAAAGAACTTTATCTCGAAATCGCTACTGTCTGACCACGCGGGACCCCATTCTACTGATAGAGTGAGCGATAAAATTTGAAATCTCTGTTTTATATACACCGAGCCAATAAAACTTTTGCACTGTCTGTACATTCGCGAGTAAAATGGAAAAAGTTGCCTCGCCCAGTCACTTTCGTACAGGATCGTTGCTTTATCCTTCACACGGATCTTTGTGACCTTCGGAATTGTTACGTAAAAAGTCGTCACGTCAATCTTCACGTTACCAACGTATAGGTAACAGTATAGGCGGAGCCTCTTTTCGAAAAACGCTTGATTACAGCCGAAATCATCGGTAAAGAAACAGAATAACAAACAAAATCGGTTCAACGCAAATAAGCAGATCGGTCGGGGAATCGAGTGCTCTCGGACCGTCCCAGCAGAGCTCTTGCAATAAAGAAACTCGACTCGTTCGAACGAGTCTCTCAGCGAGTTTTTGCCTCATCTCGAGGGGTTGAAAAAATAAAAGAAGGGCGAACGCGCGCCAACTTTGAAAACCCATTCGGGCACGTCCACTGGGAGTCGGGAAATACAGATGAGATCCGTAAGTTTGTTCAAAGGAGGACTCGCCGGCTTTTGGGCGACGGTACCCGTGGAGTCACGTGCCATTTTCAGTCATTCTCTTTTTGCAACGCGAGTGTTTGTACTTATCGAGCGCGGAGAGCCATTTGGGTCAAACGGCAATTTGAGCGCGGTTTACCGGCTCCTACCGGACGATGGCTGCCGACGGGGTATCAATACGTGCATGCGTGTGCTCGTCGGCCCCGGTAATTGACGGCTCGTGCGTGAGCCGCAACTTACGACTGTCATTATACGTTTGTCGCTCGATTCTCCGGATGACGCTGCAACTGCTCTTATTTCTCTCTCCGTTGGTCCTCGTGGTCGCGAGCAGCTGTTGTCTGGCTTTAATCGCACGACCGTGCAATTTGCGCACATTTTTCTATTCGGAGTTTACTTGATTGCATCGAGTCTTTGAGTGCAGGCGGAAAAACTGTGATTGCAACCAATGAAAAAGAAAGGATTTTTCAAAAGTAGAAACCCCAAGGGATCGAAAAAATTACTTCAATCATCGAGAAATTTGTTTGCCCATTGTACATAATTAAAAAATTCTAATTGTTGAGACTTTACTGCATACAAGTTCTCATACGTTCAAACTACGTTTGAATCACGTCGACAGACTCACGGTATACTCGTACGGAACCTGTAGTTAGCTACTTGTACTTAACATAAATTTTATACAATCATGTACCAACATTAACGTGTTTTTTTTTAAATAATACTAAAACTAAGTACATGTTGTAGCAACTACATGCGAAACTACAATTTGTAAAGTAAAAAGAGTTATGTGATAGTCAATTTTCATTTAACCCAACAAAAATCAACCGCGTCAATAAATATCTCGTCACTGTATTTTTTGGCAGAAAATTTGCTGCACTTAGGATACTATGCGATAGGATATAAAATTAAACTAAGCAAAAAATATTGATTACGAAGCTCACACTCCCAGCAGAACTTGCGAGTTACTACTCACCCCCGTTACATCCCAGCCCCTATCTTCCCTACCCATAACTTTGGATTCAACAGGAGTCTGAAACTTCCTGGGCGGCACAACCTACTTTTGTGAAAGTTTGCTCTGTTGCTGCTGTATTATATTACCAGCATCATTATTGCATATTAATAATGTCACCATGATGTTTCGCACTGATGATGATGATGATATATACACGTAAGAAATTGAATGGTTTTCAACAAGTAACCAAATTAAAGTTTATATATAATGTCACGTTAACCGTGTAATCGAGAAAACAATGTTGACGCGACGACAAAAAAAGTGCACCACCTGTGTCTCTGTACGAAAGCGTCGAGGTGAGTTTACGTGTAAATTCTCTCGGTAGCTCAAGTCTCGGGGTAGACGCCCTATATGTGTGTATCACGTGGCTAACCATCAGGTATCGCCCCGGCAATTAATTAACTTGACTTTAAAGCGACGGTAACGCAACTGGCAGCTGCAACAGAGGCGGCATCAATGGCCTTTCTTGGCAGTCTGACGCCCGACCAATTTGTGCGGGATATACATACATAATATGTGTACGCGCGTAATTTCGAGTTTGTTGAATTATATTGCGCGTCTCCTGTATAGCGGGGAAACGTCAATGTCACCGCTATTGTAGGCCACCTGTTTCTGTATAACGTATACGTGTGTATATTGCTTTCAATTAAATCGAACTCGCGAGCAAACTAACGGGCATAGCCGTGGATTCGCACGCAAATAACGTCACTTTTCACGTAGCCGACTCGTAAATAAATTAAAAAAAAAAAAAAAAAAAAAAAAGAAAAAACAACCCCCTTTTTTCATTGGTTATTGGAATTTATCTCGGAACTCGTCTTTTTTACGGAAGCCGTACAAAGTACCCGCTTTGATGGTGCAGTGCGTATAAATTTGTTCAATCGCACTTTATTTTAGTGACGTGTTTACCCTTTTCCCCCGTAGGCAAATAACGACTACTCGGGCGTGCGTGTGTATATACCAAAATGAAAGGGGAAAAGGTTTTATCCTTCGCCGAGTGAAATAAAATTCTACGACGGCTGTGAGTGGCTCCTTTCAGCGGCTGTGTTGTCGATCCGAATTTAATACGGAGGCGTATGAATATATATGTGCGCGGGTGAGGAAGTTGCGGAAACAACAATATGCTCGCGCGCGATAAGCAAATAAACTACACAAACTTTCCAACTGTAGGGGTAACTCGATATTCCCATGAATTGGGGTGTTTTTCTTCTCGCGTGGTATTTTTTTTTTTTTTTTTTTTCATCAACGACGAGAAGCCAAGATTTTTCCACTCTCGTGAGTTATAGTCGGCGCTTTTCGCTGACTCGAGGCGACGTGACGTCCTGCGGAGCACGAAATTTGACGAGACTCGAGAAAAGTTTGATGAAACGAAGACGACGGCGTCGTGACTGTGCGTTTGTACATGGATCATTCTACAAAAACACTTTTTTTTTTTTTTTTTACGTATCATATAGTGACAAAGTCATTTATTTAAAAAAAGGGTTTTAGAATATTGTATTGACTATACGTTATTAGAGATGAAACCAAAAAAATTTATTGATTTTTTAGTAAAGTGGAAAAAACAGACCAAACTTACCACGATTTTGTCAATACTGAAAATTTGGCACTTTTGCATTGATTTTTATATTTTTAATCGCTCCAGTATTCATCATGTTAATCGATGTAAGAAACTTTTTCGCTGTACTTTACACTTACTTTTATACATTGACAACATTTTTTAAAATAGCCCAAAAGAACTATTTCAAAGTGCACTCGGCACAAATAATGTAGATGGTAACTTGATGTTGTAAGCTTATTAAGACCCAAAAGTCTCCAGCTTCTCAGGACTCTTACATCGAAAAAGTAGTAAATGGTAAATTTCGGCATTCCCACCGTAGTCATAAATATATTTTGCATTTTTCGTGAAATGATCCACGTACGTTCGGCTTCTCTTTCATCGCAGCTCCTACACCAGTCACGACGACTACGCGAAACCTTGGGGTCTTCAACTCGCCTGGTTTTATGATGCCTACGTGGTGACAGCAAACGACGAAGACTTAAATTTCTCAAAAAAGTCCACTCGAAGTAAAAGTACTGGCTTTTTGTTTTTCACAATAGTATCTACTTACACGTGTATTTGCCATAAGGTCTTACTTGTCGCGTTTTTCGACAACATCATCATAATCGAGCTCTGGAAAAGTGTTTCACTTTATTCATTGTTTCAACCAAGATTTCCCAAAATCACGCGTAACTAATGGATGGGTGAATGGGCACAAGTAACGCCCACACGCCAACTCTAACGAGAGAGCATTCAAAAGGACATTCGTGATGAGCAAAGTTTGTATGTATTTACAAATATATATGTATACACCACCCATAGAAACCCTCTTATTTCATGAAGCGTATAAGCATATAATATATAGATGGATGCATGTACACACGAAACGCGTTCATCTCTGCATAATCAAATTAGTCTTCGGTATAGGTGGAGGGTATAAATGTGCCGACGACTTGTGCAATTAAGGAAGTTTCGGAGTCTTGGCGGAAAGTTGTGAGGTCCGTTCCCATGAGCCCCAATGGCTTAAAAGTCTAGTTCTTGCAACTTTGTCTGGAAATGCCCTTTTTGGCGATAATAATCAGAATACGTAAAAAAAAAAATGGTCAATTCCCAAGATGAAAAGTACCGAGCGAACGAATGTACCAAAGTACAAAGGACGACACCAAGTTTGAGCCAAACTCCTTCTGCAAGTAAGCTGCAAAATGCAAAGCTCACTTATCTCAAACCCGAAGGTGTTGAAGCCCAAAAATGGCGCAAGCGGCTTTGTTTACGTTGGCATTTATTGTCTTTTTGAGATGCCTAGGAAAAGGATTACCAAAACTCGATGTCAATGCTTTCCTTGGAGATTAACCAACCTATTGAAGTTTGTTTGTTTGTCCTCACTCCGAGTAAAAAAACCCCCAACTCTACACTTATGTATAATCTACCGTAACAACCCACTTATAAATTGTACAATTAAAAATGTTAAAAAAAAAAAAACACCTCCGATACTTATTAGACAATTTTTTTCATTTTCAAGCATTACCATTTGGTTGCAGGTACTACGCGATCTCGAAGCCACTGGACTACGGGGTGAAGAGGACCACGCGGCGCATGATACTGTACGTGGCGGTGGTGTGGCTCGGGGCGGCCTGTATAAGCCTGCCGCCGCTCCTCTTGCTGGGCAACGAGTACGGGATCGACGACAAGACCGGCAAGCTGCGCTGTCTCGTCTGCCAGAACTTTTTCTACCAGATTTACGCCACGCTCTTCAGCTTTTATATTCCCCTCTTCATCATGATCATGGCGAGTTATTCTATACGTATACCCAATTACGTTGCTTCTCCCCCACGAGCGTGTACCAACGCGCCTTTGGGAATCCGCTCTTCTTTCGTCTCCCGAGAGACGTACTTGTATGGAAAATAACGATTATCCCGGCCACGCGAGAATTACGTCCTGGCCATTTTCCAAAGTTTCGGTTCGATGCTTTTTGGAAAGTATACATCGGAATAAAGTTTTGATTTTCACAACGTGACTTTGCTCGTATAGCTCATCCTCGTGAATTTAAACCAAAAGTTCCCATCCGGTCATTTCGAAGAGTGTACAGATGTATCCACACGTGTCTAGGTAGCAAGAACCGATCCACATGATATAGCCACAGGTGGTGCGTACTTCCTGTATTACGTGGGCGGAGAAACTATTTTCCCGTGTATAGGGATAGGTTGTTTGTCGTAAAGTCCCTTACCGCGCGCAATTAAAACGCGCCAATAAGGGTGTAAGGTGGATACAAACGACGCGTAACTCGTTGTTTTCGCGTGCTCGTAGGTGTACTACAAAATCTTTTGCGCGGCGCGGAAGATCGTGCTGGAGGAGAAGCGCGCCCAGAGCCACCTCGAGGCCTACTGTCACCTGGACCTGGACCAGCAGCTGTCGGCGCCGACGAATCGGCAGAAGCAGCCCCCTGAGTTTGAGATCCACGCGACTCGGGGCCCGTCGCCCGTTGGCCACCATCGCAACTCCAGCGCCTCCACCACTGTAAGTCTTACCCCCACGTGTCTAACACCTTCTATTGGTACTTTTCATGAAAATTAAAATATCGTCTACGCATTATTGTGTAACAGTATACATTGTTAACAACAATATTTCCCTTTCCCTCCACGCTGTATATATATATATTATAGGTACACGTGACGTTGCCGTACGTCCTCGTGATTCGAAAGAAAATCACAAGTGGGTCAAGGGATCGTTTACCAATCTCTTTCCCTTATCTTTGCCATTTCCCCCTATAGCGTGAAAGTATCGACTTTGATTACATTTCGATTTGCCGTTTGAGTATATCGTTAGACTCTTATCTCAAATCTCACGTACCCGCTGTATACGCGGCAATGAATGCTCGAATAGCAGGTACGCATATATTTTGCGAGTCGAGACACGTTACACGGGTCTTTTGTGTCCAAGTTTCCTGGGATCCATTGATCCAAGTTCGGAAGAACAACGAGCATCGCTAATGAGATTATGCGTCACGCAGATAAGGCCAGAGATAGTGACCATCCCCGACGAACCTGTTAGGTATTATGTATCAATACATAAGAGAATCCCTCGCGCGAAGCTCCGGGAGATCCATCGATTCGTCCTCCTGCACTCGCGAGCGGAGAGAACGAGACGCCCATTGTTTAGCTCGTACTCCCCATATCAGGTAACAACACGATCCATGCCAAAGTAGCTATACGTGGATTGTACCTGTTGTGCGCGTTTCGGCTCCTCTCCCGCGCCCGATGCTCTTTGTTCCCTCTGATGCGCAAACACGCCGTCATCGTGGTGAAGCCACGGTTACACATAAAGGCGAGAAGCTTCACCGGCATACCGGCTAACAAAGGAACACTGCCAGCTATACATAATTTTCATTCGTGGCGTGTGTGGCCGTTGTACCGTTGTCATTAGAAATTGACAGCTTAGAGGGGATGATTCGCGCAAAATCTCGAGCAAACAACGCGACCGAGAGCATATAGTCCGCATGAGCGCTGCTGAGCTTCGGCTCCCGGACCTAATTTAGCGTTTGGTTGGTTTTTACCCCCCCCCCCCTAATGCCCGTAAATTAATATTAAGCGTGCGCTTCACGTGCAAACGTTTCGATGCTCGCGTACAAACTGTCGTTTTGAAATTAAACTCAGAGAAGGCAAAGTATACGTACCTACTACCGCATCAATTTTATTTCGTCTAACGGCATAATTGTACTTTCGGTGAAAGGGCAAACTCTCGTAGTAAATTACAAAGTGGACTTTGCGAGAGGAAAGTGTAACTTGGAGCACTTGGGTAGTGAGCTTTGAATATTTGCAATTTTTATTAATCGCGTTTTCGATTGTGTTTTATCGATGATTTTATGCTTTGTTGGGAGTGTTGAAGTTGCCGCGTTGTTTCACGATTCTCCGAATCGCACTCGAGAGACATGTATGTGATATCAAGTTTTGTTTGCAACGGTTAATTTTGAAATCAATGTTCACAATCGGCTTTTCTGAAGTGGGGCTCGTTATTATTGAAATTACAAGGCCAACGTTGCATTTACAAAATGATAATTAATTTCACTGTTACGATGATATTCGTTACTGCGAATTGCGCGATTTATTGGGGCTTTACGATATTACATATATTATGATGATGATGTACATTTATTTACGTTATCTCGTTTCTTCCTGATTTTTAAGAGCCAATCAAATCGAGCGGATTGGCCATGTTTTTTTCCATCTGACATATCGACATTACCGGCTTCTGTTATTAAAATTTGGTAGTATATCATTTGGATAATAGTCTATGATTTTCATGATTAATTTGATACCAGTTTTTAATTACGTTTACTTGGTTTCGTTTTTCATGTTCATTTCATAGATTATTTTAATTTGTTGTGAATAATTTCTTTTTTTTTTTTTTTTTTTTTTTTTCAATAATCATACAAGTATAACAGCTATCAAAGTTTAGGAAATTAAAAATGCCAAAAATTTCGTAGATATTTTTTTTGCTTTGGTAAACCGCGAAAATTTGAAACTTTCGAGTTTGAAATAATCGTGGTGTTCATCTATCTTTGCTACAAAGTTATCGGAGCCTAAAACTTGACCTATATTTTTGTTACGTAATATACTTCATTTATTACCAAAGTTTCACCCAATGCTTTTTCTCGCCGAGTACAATTCAAGTGTTTTTTTAATCTTTTGTCGATATCCACACGGCACTGCCATTCGTAAGATTTTTCAAAATCGATATCATAAAACGAAATAAATGTCGTGCGTCAGCTCTCCATCCCAAAGCCCCAGCAATTACAGCTAATGGAATTGGTTCGAGTGAAATGATCATTTTAGGTGCACTCGAAACCGGTGAGACGTTCTGAAAAACGCTAAGTAAATGTACACGGAGCATTTTCATCTGTAGAGTTACATGTTGCAGGTACAGAGAAAATTTGGATTGCTCCTGATAAACGGTAAATGTAAAGCTTTGGATTTTTTTATGATAAGGCAATCCGACCAACAGTGGGATATTAAGGAACAAAAATGACAATGAAAGCTACCGAAATGAAGGATCCAAAATTACATTCGATCCCGGCCACACACTGCACCCGTACCACCCATGGCCTATATAAGCTTATTGGATCTAGCGGTGGTGCTGTAGTATAGCTTTGCTCCTCCTTTACTGAACACGCACATCAAGAGGCCGTGCATCGGATCGAGCAAGGAAAATCCCTCACGTACTTATTTCGCGCGGCGTTTCCTTCTTCTCTTGACCTCCGGCTCTCTCTCTCTATTCTTTCTTTTTTTTTTTTTCTCTCTTTGCAAACTGGTTCAGAGAATTTTTTTTTTTTTTTTTTTTTTTTTCACTGCAAACTGCGTTTACGGGCGATAAAGGAATCCGGCGGGTAAAAGGAACTGCGGGCGCACGAGGGTGGAAGCTTTCAAGATTTTATCGGAACTCGGGTATCGGCGTATGGTTATAAAAATTTCCTACAACCAGCACATACGTGAACGAAATAGCTTCTCCAACGAAAAACCAGATTCCGACTTACCTAGAGACATAGTACGTGGCCGAGAGCTTTGTCCGAATCGTACAAAGATTTTTCATTAATTTCATCGCGTGTACAAGGAAAAGGGCTGGCTGCAACAGAGACGTTCCGGCAAGCTACATCTACTCAAAGTACACATAAGTGGTGTGTCCTATAGTTGTTTTTTACACCCCAAGGGGTAGTTAAATCGGGGCTCTTCGGTAAACTAAGAATAGTAATGAAGCGAGCAATGATTGACGAGCTTTCCTTGACAGGTAATGAACCTTCATGATTTGATTAATTGTACGAACGGGAGCTATTAACAAGACGAAGCTAGTAAACTTTTTGCGTACATGAACGGGCACTTAAAGGGTTAACAAAAATGAGATCTGGTACGCTGATTGCCACGATCGACGATTAAGTGTTGAAGCACAACAACCACAAAAGCAAGAAAAAAAACAGTGGCAGGACATTGCACTCCAATGCCCACGAGTTACAGACACATGACGAGAACGTATAGAGAGCAGCCATAAAACATAAAGCTATGGAGAGCTTTTTTGTGCACAGGTACAATGCACGCGTGTACGGGTGGATAGGCAAAGGTAACTAAATCGCTGATCGGGCAGGGAGGGGGGTGTAGGGTGAGACGGAGAGAGCGGAAATGAAGAGGTATGGAATTCACGCGAATGCTCGCGCCAGTGGGGCGGATCAATGGAAGGAGGCGAGCTGGATGTAAGATACAAGTTGTCCACGTTCCCTCTGCAAGCTCGTGCATCGCGCAATTGGAAGGAAAACGAGGGGGACGATGAGATCTTCCTCGGACCCTAGAATATTTTGCACATCCCTTACACTCTCGGATTTGGACGTTGCAAAAAAAAATGCCCCCACGGCAAGATATGGTACATCTCCTCCTTCCAATCTTGCCGTCGTTCTGAACCTTGTACTCTACATTTTAAATACACACCCACGCCGCTTTGCAAGAGCTAAAATATCAAAGCTCGTTGTATAGAGTTTGTGCGTCCCTTTGACGTCGGAGCTTTAAAGACAGCTTTCATCCGGGCACACAACATACGCATTATTATCTTCGTGCATAATCAACCAGTTACATTAATTATTCAGCTATTTTTGAATAACTACTGCGTGCGTTAACGTTTACGCGTTCCAAACAAACAAAGCTTGGACGCTTTTACATCAGGTGAGAATAAAATTTAATTTGCACGGAGTAACTCGCGAGTTTACGTTCAATGAGCAAATTCTCGCGATGCTTTCGTTATTCGTTAGCGTAACGCCAGGGCCCGTACAAATGAATTTTTATTTATTTTGATGATCAACTGACGAGCAACTCCGGCTTAGAGGAACACTGTGCTCGCCCACGCGACCTAATCCTCCGAGGGTATACGCGCGGTATATTATGGAGCTTTGAAGTTGTAGTCCATAAAATTGAGTTATGACGAGCTAACTTATATTTGGCGAACAAAACTTTCTTCGAGGGTGCGGATATACAGAGTTACGGGGGTTAAATTTAATTAAACGGCCATGTAAACATATAGTAATATCATCGCAAACAACAACAACAACAATTTTCCGCGTGTACTCGTACTGGATTTTCCAAAAGGTGCTTTAAATGGCTTTCGGCGTTTGCGAACTGCTTTGAGATTGAAAATTCACTGTACCCTCGGGAATACGTATGAGGTAATTTATTTTTTCCCCTGCATTTAATCGGTGTAACCCTAAAGGCACAGAAAGTTAACAACTCCGCGAGTCCAAAGTTCCAAGAACACACGCATACACTCGCATGAACGTTGACGTGTATTTGTGCGTGGTAAGATTGCAGTTGGATACAGAGTCGACTGATTCTTGAACAAAGTTATTGCGTAATATGTTTCACCGGTGCGGAACTTATGAATTAACGATCAGTGCTCGCCAAGTCGGAGTAAACTTCATTAAAGTGCGCACGGATGAGGTGTACAGCAGCAGAAGCTCGGGTGTCCCCACCTTCAAATGGAAATAACGCGTATACGCTTGTGGGTGTCTGTATGAGGGTGGCTAGTGATTTTTTTTTTTTTTTTTTTTTCAACCTTTTCTAAAGTTTAGTCAAACGATTCGTAGAGTGAATAAAGTTTTTTTGAAGTTACTAGCTCTCAAGTGGTACTTTTAACATTTTTTTCGAGCGCAAAAAATCTTTTCTTCAATTAAAAAAAAAAAAAAAAAAAAAAAATATTGGTTAGCAACGAACCTTTGCTTCAACTAGAAGTACTCGGTTTCTATACTTTTGAATCTCGCGCTGGAATGATGTAATCGAAAAAATATGTTAGAAAAATTCGGTGTCACTCGATACGCCGCACTTCGAGCATTTTCAAATTGAGGTATACGCGTTAACTCCGGGAGTAGTTTTAATGCACCTGATAATGCTTATCGCTTGACAATTTGGTTAGCTGTTCACGCTGCTATCGAGGCTTTTTACTCATTGAAGTCCATCGATCAAACTGTTCACGTAGCTCATACCTGTATTTACGATATGCGTATACTTTATTTTGTATAAGTGTATTTTTTTTTTTTTTGTGTATTGCTCATATTCCACCATCTACGGATACATCTATTCATAGAAGCATAAATTTCAAATAAATTGATTGTTAGTAAAATACAGTGCACGAAAAAAAATTCAAAACAAAGCATAAAGCTTAGGCGATAAAATTAAAGTGAAAGCGAGTACATTTTAATTGCTTTCATGATTTTATCGATAAATTTTTGTATATAATATTTTTTTCATTATTGAAACATGATAAAAAAAAGTCGATAAGGTATTACATTACAAAGAACAAAAAATAAAATACATTCGTAAATTTTAATGTAGTAAAGTTCGCTTTGGAGGTTCGAGATAATCTTTGAATTTAGTTTCTTTTGCATTGAAAATCTCAAATTTTTTCTTGCCAGTGATTTTGGGACATATTTGGATGAACACATGAGTATTTACATATAAAGATGTCTATTTTATTATATATAATACTAAATTAAGTTTTTTTTTTTTTTTTTCAATAATCATACAAGTATAACAGCTATCAAAGTTTAGGAAATTAAAAATGCCAAAAATTTCGTAGATATTTTTTTTGCTTTGGTAAACCGCGAAAATTTGAAACTTTCGAGTTTGAAATAATCGTGGTGTTCATCTATCTTTGCTACAAAGTTATCGGAGCCTAAAANGATAGATAATACTAAATTAAGATTGGATTTTCTGATACTTTTTTATACTTTTTCAACTACTCTAGAATTGACTTTCATTTTGCATGTTTTTAGGTGAACATATAAAAAATTGGAGGTTACGTTACTTTATTTTATTAAATGATGGTACTTGGTTTGGATACAAAGAAAAACCTGGTAACCAAACTGCCATTCGTATTCAACCTTCAAACAAATTTACTGTTAAGGGATGTAAAATAATACCTCTAAATGAACCGAAGCCTTACACGTTTGTTATAAGAGGATTACTGTGGACAAGAGTTATTGAAAGAATATTTTATGTCAATACACAAAAAGAAAGAAGGGACTGGATTGCTGCTATTAGGTGACTTTAGGCATTACATACATATTTATTCATTAGTCCAATTTAATAGAAATTTTTTGTATACTATTCAAAAAAGTCATATTTTTGAAAAAAATGGTAGTTTTCCTACGAGTTTGAAAAGTCTTTGTTTGCGAACCGAGAGGTTTGCGGCCCGAGCCGTAACGAGGTTCGTAAAGGAGACTTTTCGAACGAGTTCCGGAAAACTGCTTTTTCGCCCGAGGAAGTACCAGCCTCCCAAAACCACCCGAGGGCGGAAAATTTCATTTTTGACGACAATATAATGTGTTTTATTGAGAATTTTATTCAATTGGGTATATAGCTGATAAGCTTGCTTATCAAGATAGAAACATAGTACAACAACAACTTCCTCAAATTCAGACAGAGTCAGTTCCAAGGAGATCCAATCCATCTAGAGTTGCTTCCACTAGTAGGAACAGTCTTGACAAACTATCAAGTAGTCTTGAAAAAACATCAATCAGTACATCCTCAAAACAAAAAAAAGTAGTACGTAAAGTTAAATAGCTATAAGTTTTCAGTAAAAAATTTGGTTTTTATCATTATTTGAATTCATTACTTTTTCGTTCATTATTAAAGCTGGTTCTTGATTTTTAGACTTTGGAAAACTTTGAGTTTTTAAAAGTTCTTGGTAGAGGTGGATACGGTAGAGTTATCTCATGCAGAGAGAAAGGAACCACAGAAAATTTGTACGCTTTAAAATCTGTTATGAAATCATTTATAATTGGCCGTAACCAAGTATCCCACACTTTATCAGAAAACAGAGTCATGAGGATCATGAGACATCCATTTTTAATAGTGAGTTACAATTATGAAATATTATGAGGATTTTTTTTTTCATTAGAGTGCTCTACGTCTGGCTCCTTCGATAAGGGCACTACTAACAGTGAGTGGGAGGGGAGAATGAGGGAGTTAGGCAATTTTTACTGCGAGAAGGTCGCCTTAATTCCTCCTCGAGGAGCATTGCGTGGTGATAAAGTACTTGTGAAAATACACAGAGGTACTTGCCCGAAAAGTCGCACTGGCCGGGAATCGAACCACGGTCTCCCGCGTGTCAATCCACGGCCTAGCCGACTGAGCCACCGCGCGCTCTGATCTTGCGAGGGTATTAGCTGTGTGTAGTTGTTCGCTATGCGCCTATGTCAGGTGACGCCTTTGAGTGAGAGAAATTGTCCCTCGCTAAGATCGCCAGAATGCATGGTGTCTTATAGGAAAATTTTTTAATAAATTAAAAAGAAGGTCATTAAGAGTGAATTGACCAAATGAATCAGTGATTTGAGTGTGTCTTATGTTAGTGTACAGTAATAAATTTTGTTTGGTGTTGCCATGTATACTACAAGATTGGAAAAAATGAAAATATGGATTGTGACTATGAGAACACAGCATATTTGAGTGCATATACGTGCTTACACTTGTGTAAAGCTAAAAAAACACAAGTAATCCATGGAAATGTAATATAAATGTGTAAAAGTTAACCTAACCTGTCATTAGTATTAATTTTTATTGAACGCTGTGTTGTGAGAAATAGATAAATTTCAGCAGTACTTGTGTTTCTCAAGCTCCATACAAGTGCAAGCATGTGTATACACATATATATGTTGTGTTAGCACAGTCGCAATCCATGTTTTCATTTTTTCTAATCTTGTAGTACACATGACAACACCAAACAAAATTTATTACTGTACACTAACATAAGACACACTCAAATCACTGATTCATTTGGTCAATTCACTCTTAATAAACTTTTTTTTAACTTATTAAAAAGTTTTCCTATACTTAAGGCTCCATGCATTCTGACGATTTTAGCGAGGGACAATTTCTCTCACTCGACGGCGCCACCTGACATAGGCGCATAGCGAATAGTTGTTTATTAATCCTCAAACTTTACAGTCTTTAAAGTACAGTTTTCAAACGGCCGACAGACTCTTTTTTGTCGTGGATTACTTGAGTGGTGGTGATCTTTATTTTCACGTGAAACATGATCGTTTCTTCGACGAGGACCGCGCCAAGTTTTATGGAGCCGAAATTATTTTGGCAGTAGGTTATTTACATACACAGGGTATTATTCACCGTGACCTTAAACTGGAAAACATCTTATTAGACAAAGACGGTCACATAAAAATCGTTGATTTCGGTTTGTGTAAAGAAGACATAACATACGGTAACTCGCACATATACAACAGCCTTTACTTCTTGAATTGCCTTTTTAGGTATATTTCAAATAATCGTACAAATATCCCGTAGGGAAAACAACAAACACGTTTTGCGGCACTCCAGAGTATTTGGCACCAGAAATTTTAGAAGACCGAGCTTACGGTCGAGCTGTAGACTGGTGGAGTGTTGGAGTGATCATATGTGAAATGATGAGTGGTAAGCTTCCATTTGATGACAGAGATCGAGAAATACTTTCGAGGATGATACGAAAGGAAAAAGTTAAATTTCCAAAAACCTTCAGCGTTGAAGCGAAGGATGTATTAAGAGGTGAGTTTATAAAACCATCAGGTATTGATAATACTAACTGTCTGTCTAAGATACAATTGCACAATTGTATGTTTGATGATATCTTATCACGTGTGTAGGTTTACTGGTAAAGGATCCAGACATGAGATTGGGTGGTGGTCCACTTGACGCCAAGGAAGTCACAGAGCATTCGTTCTTCTGGTCGATAAACTGGAATATGATGTTAAAAAAAAAGATTCCACCTCCCTTCAAACCGCAGGTTACCTCGGACACAGACACGCGTTACTTTGACATCGAATTCACCGATGAAAGTGTCAAACTTACGCCGACCGACCCTAACAGCCATTGTCTAAAATTGATGACCGAGGAACACAAACATTTTACCCACTTCTCTTACCAAAACATTAGTCCCTCCTCGGCAGCCAGTAATTATCATTTTTAATAACCAAAAATTAATCTATTAAATACTTCAAAGATTTTGTTTTTGAAAATTTTTTTTTTTTTTTTTTTTTTTTTTTTTCAATAATCATACAAGTATAACAGCTATCAAAGTTTAGGAAATTAAAAATGCCAAAAATTTCGTAGATATTTTTTTTGCTTTGGTAAACCGCGAAAATTTGAAACTTTCGAGTTTGAAATAATCGTGGTGTTCATCTATCTTTGCTACAAAGTTATCGGAGCCTAAAACTTGACCTATATTTTTGTTACGTAATATACTTCATTTATTACCAAAGTTTCACCCAATGCTTTTTCTCGCCGAGTACAATTCAAGTGTTTTTTTAATCTTTTGTNTTTATTTCTTTTATAGTTATATTTACGCATGATGTGTTCATATACCTATTTCAAAAGTTTTATTTTCATCCGTATACCTTATTATTAGGCCAGTGTGATACCGATTTTAGGACAAGCAAAGACGGCTTCCATAAAAAATTATCTCGTGTAGACAAAATATATCGATAAGAAACGTTAAAAAAGTTTTCATGGCCGAGACTCGGAGCACTTTTTGATATTGCACATGCCTCCCATTCGAGAACAATTCTACAAAAATTTTCAACTAAATGATTCTGGAAACAAATCAATTTTTTATACACTTGTTGAAAACATGGTTATACGACCATTTGAAAATCATGCGAAATTAAGATTTTAATAAAATATTAATAATTAAGCGCACAAAAAATTTTTATATTAACTATTTTTTTTAAACTTACGTTCTAATACCGGTTGGTACACATGAAAAAGAGAACCCAAAGAAAGCTAATTCAAACAAGACTAGTTGAATCAAAATTTAAAATCAATCGTGATCTGTAATTGCAGCCTAAATATTCTCCAACTTAAGATCTCAATACTACTTTTACATTCAACAAATTTCACAGAAAAAGTTGTCTAAAGTATTATATTAATTTTTTCACGACCATACAAACTACAACAAACTACAATCAACAGAGGTGAAAAATAATTTATTTACATTCAGATGCTGATACTACTCAGATGGCGTTTTATTATATTTTACAACCAAAATTCAATGTTTCATGTCACCAACCACATGATATTGTATCATCAGCTCCTTTACCTACTTTATGGTGCTCGTCACGTGGCCTACTAAAAGATTCACATTTACCGTGCCTAATAGTCGAATCTCCTATTCTCGTAATAGGATCCATTAAGGAATCTGATTTTCATTTATCCATCACATAATCGCTATCAGATTGGCTCTTGCAGCGGCCACTAAGCTGTACAATGCCATATTTTACATTGAGTAGCCAAGGTAGAGCGCAACGCGCTGAAATTCAGGGGTAAAGTGTACGGGAGGAGAGGACATTAAATCAGCTGCATGAAATATTCATTGTCGCGCTGTCCAACCGTTGCATTATCGATAATTCATGTTCCATTAGGCGCCATCGAGAAATTCCGTTTATACTTTCGAGTGCTGTTGAATACGCTATTACAACGAACGGAATAACCTATGTTTCATTGCTGGCATGTAATATTAACACTGTACTCTAACATTTTGAGTATGGCAATTTTCAATATCAGAATTTCGACGTTACTTACACACTGAGATTAAAAAGGGTCATTTCGAGGAAATGGCTGTTAAGGGAATGTACAATCTTTAGTATATGTCGGTACACTCATTTTATAAATAAATACCGCTTCTGTGCTAAACGAAATCACCGAATTAGAATGATTGTTATTGTACTTTAAGGTCACTAGCCATAGACTGACGTAAAAGGCGTACTAAACACGGCCATTTAAGCGCATACATTATATACTCACGTGTTAGATGCGCAAAATTCCATGATTTTTTCAAGCTTTATAAAAAATTTTCTCTACCCGCAAAATTGATAACTTGAAATTCCTAACTGCAACGATGATCACGCAAGCATAACATAGAAAAAAATAATAGACTCACCAACTAGATTGCCAAAACAGATGGGCCATCGACCATACCGGTGTCCAAAAAAAAACCTTTGTTTTTAAGCTTCCTATCTTTTCATTAATGTTTCAGATACGCTGATAACCCCACGCACTGTGGCATCGTTTAATATAATGTACACAATTATAACTGTATACTATACACGTTATTTTTTATAGACATATCATATTAGGAGCAACACCCACTTTTCTCTCTGTCTTTGACTTTGAATTTTTCACTTACACGCCTAGATAATATATAACGTACTTACACGTGGCGCTCGCGTTTCAGCATGAAAAATGCAGAGAGGACCGCTCCGGCAGGGCTTAGCTGCAACCTCTGAGCTGGTAGCTGCTTGTGAGCGATTGCAAAATTTTTACCTCCCGTGGCCTGCTTTTTCTCCTCCCACGGAAACAGACACCCACACGCGCGGCTGTACTCCACGTTTGAATTCCTTGTTTTCCATTCAGGGGTGCGCCGAAAATTTATAAAAGGCTTGAAAATCCCTACACCCACTTTTACTTGTACACCACACAGGACTATGCTTCTGTACCTACACGTGTACGGATAGGTCGTGCTTTGGAGAAAAAAAAAAAAAAAAAAGATTTTTACTCCGCGCTTTCCACACAGAGAAAGATTCATGAGGCTCGCCGGGGTGACTTAAGAGCTCACGAGAGCAGAAAGCTCTCTCTGCCTTTCCACTGTAATGCCGGACTCTGGCCTACACCCTACATAAGCCTGTGTCGCCTTATTTCTACATCCTCTGTTTTTTTTTTTTTTTTTTTCTCCTTAACCATATATTATATACCTTGCCCGAAAGGGAGGGTATCGAGCGCCGAATGTTGACGGTACGACTTTGCAGGACACTTTGTTGCTTGTCGTAAAAACATTGCTCGTACCGCTGTATGTACAGTTATAAATTTATCACAGCATAATTTGCCTTTTATTCGCAGCTGTTGTATCCATGGAATCTAAAATGGGCTTTTCATTCGATGATTAAATTGCGTTGACGAACGGTGTAAAAAAAGAACCATAAACGTACCTAAATGTGGAGCAAGTGACGCACACGGCGTGGAAAAGAGAAAACTCATCGCGCGCCCCCGATGTATAGTGCACACAAGCCGTGTGTGTATATATTTATGTACGGATGCGGGCCACGGGGTAAAATACAAAATTCATTAAACTGCGCTCGCACGCTCGAAAAGGGATAAATATATACACCGGCAACATGTATATACATCGCGGGTACACGCCTCTGGGGCCGATTCTTAGCTGTGCAGGTCCCTCTGATTACAAGCTAAATTTCCGCGGATTATTCGAGAAAGTACCTCCTCCTCCCCCCCCCCGTCCATTCCTTGTCGCACTGTGCAAACACCGAGCATATACATAAATGTATACTCACCCCTTTCGCCTCGTCTTCCTCCCCTGATGCGTGTGCGCGCATATAATACGGAGTTTACACAGCCGCAGCCTACAGCACGTACCGAGCCTCCATCTGCGCGAGGGCGTTTTATCCCTGCATATATACATATATATATATACACATCCACTATAGGTCGCGCATTAATTGTCTTTCGCCGGAAATTCCGTCGGCGACACTCTCGCTCTCGGGCTCCGCTTGATTGCACGTCACGCGAACGCGCAATTATTACACAGGGACACGTTGTATGTATATAGGTACACACATTGGGCCACTTTTGCAAGGTCGCATCACTCGTATAGTCCTACTCGTTTGCATTACGTATCAAAAAAGGGGTGCGGGAGGGAGCGGATAATCGATGGTTTTTTCCGAGCACAATGACGCTTTTACGTTTCATCCTTGCAAACGGCAGGAGCCAGGAATTCGCGGAAGGGGTTTTTTTTTTTTTTTTTCCTTTCCCTCCCGAACTGTGCTAAGGAATTACAAAAATACCAGCCCCACGGCGAATTTCGCTAGTACATTAATACATATTGTATGTTTATATATTATAAAAGTGTCCATCGCCACTCCCGCGGGCCTTTCCGCGTCATCGAAGGCCGAATGGGTTTTTTAAGTTTCTAATTTCATGCGAGTACCCGCGCGACCCGCTTCCACCCTTACCGCCCCAAAGGGCACGGGGGTGGGAAAAATAAAAGCCGTGGCTTTGTGCTCGGCCTGGCCTGTTTTTCGTATACTTTTCTTCCACCGAACGAATGACGCTCTCGCGAACGCGGGGAGCACTTCATGCTCGTGTATTATTTATCCACGCGAGGAGTGCCTCGTTTTGTCAAAATAGTTGCTTATACTTTGTTCCTATGTGTGCGTTCGACGATTCGGAGGTACATATATATATATATGGACTAGTGAGCTTTTTTTTCTTTGGACGAGACAAAAGATTGTTGGCTTGGAAACAACATTGCGCGTGAGAAGAAAAAAAAATAAAAAAGTTGACTCCTATTGTGAGTTTTGGTACCCGTACATATTTGTGCCATGACGAGTTCCACTCCGAAAATACCTGCTGTTTGAATAATCGATTTCGGAACAGCAAGGAATTCGCAACTATTTTTATTTGCGCCACTAATAGCCGCGCTAGTTTAAAGCTTAATTAATCGAGTGGCCCTTTCTCGGATGCGATGTTATTACCTCCGCTACGTGTACTCGCTCGGCTTCATCACGACGAGAAAATTAATTTGTTTCAGCCGCCCTTTATCAAGTACACCCTATTTTGTACGTATATTACAATGAGTTGGTAATTAGCTTGCATACGAGGTGCCGTTGTATGGGCTCTTAAATAATTGGGGGGAGAAAATTAAAAGTAAGTTGGTAAAAGCTTCTTCTTTTTTTTTGTTTATTTTGCACGTAACTCGGCATCTTTTCAAAACGAGATGGGGAAGATTGTGACGAGCTCTTTTATTATTTCTCGCTGTCTCGCAATTAGAGCGGCCGGCTTGGCTGGACTGCCGTTGCATTGTTCCGCTGAAAGGATTCCTCGGGTTTCAAAGAACAGCGCCGCTCATGTTTCTCGCTCGTTTACTCCTGAGCACGTTGGAGAATGAAGCGCGGTAGGGAC